TAAAATTGTCACGTGTGTACCAGTTTAAGGTTTTTTGTGGTATGTTTGGGGTAAAATTGTCACAGGTGTACCAGTTTGGGATTTTTTATGGTCAAAAAAATAGTTTGGGGTAAATGTGTCACAAGTGTACCAGTTTAGGGTTTTTCATGGTATTAACCCTTAAAATTTTTTAACAATTAAAATAATAATATAAATATTAAAATAATATAAAAATGGACCCGGGCGCGCCGGCCCGGGTCCACAACCGAACCGGACTCATTCATTGAGCCCAGTCTGGCAAATTAAAAAAAAAACAAGAAAGAAAAGGGCCCAGCCCGAAAAATTTTTTAAAAAGCAAAAAAAAACAAAAGCCCATAGCCCAATAAAAAAATAGAACCCCAAAACCCTAAATACATCTGCCCACAACCTATTTCGGCCCATTCGAACGAAACCCTACCCGGTTATGACCCGCACGCCTGACCCGACTTGCGGCCGCCGACTCGACTCGCACCAGCCGTCTCACGTTCGCCGGCCGGCCGGAACGCTGACTTCTCAGAGCCCCGGCCTCCTCATCCGACGTTCCGCCTTTACTAGCCGGCCCGAATACCGGCTCCTCTGAGCTCCCGCCTCCGCGACCGATGCTCTGCCATGGTCTGCATCGCCGCCCCGATGAGGAGCAGCGAGCGTCCTCCAACCGGCTCACCGTCATGGTGACCAGCGATCGACCGAGACCGTCTAAGCCCAACGGGAGGCTGGCCGGCCGCAAACCAGCCAGATCTCAGCGAGGGACCGGCTGGTGACCCCCTCTCACGGTCGAGCCCGGACCACTGTCGAGCCGTGAGCCTCCTTAGCCCGAGGATCATGCCGGCATGCCCCGCGCCTCTCTGGCTTCTGCTCCCTCTTGTCTGTCCTCTCCCCCGTCCCAGCGACGTTGGGGGGAGAAGGTGAACAGTCACGAGCCGGGCCAAGGGGGAAAGGGGCCGGCCCGCATGGGAAAATAAGAAAAAGAAAAAGAAGAATGGGCCGTGCAAAGAAAAAAAAGAAAAGAAGAAGAATGGGCCGACTGACCTGGCCCGGAAACCCTTTTTTTTTTTTTGATATGTTTTAATAGACCCTATTAATGCAAATGCACCTAATGTCTATATGCCATGTAATTTTGATAAAAATATTTTGGTTTAAGGGTTAAAAATTAAACCCTAATTTTCCATGCGATAAAACCCTAAATGATTAAACAAATTTTAGGTGTCAACACGGTGAGCTTGAGCCTCACCAGCCTCGGGTGAGGCTCCACCTCACCAAATTTGGCGAGGTCGAGCTCGCCCGAGGCTAGAAAGCTCGACCTCTAAAGGAGGGGGGGGAGGGGGGAAAGCATATCATCAATCACACAACTCAAGAGTTTGCGATTGAAGCTACATTATCCAATTGAAAACCATGACTTGAATCACATTCATCAAACCTACGCACATTTTGTCCAAAATTGGCACAACCAACGAAAAAAGGCGAGTAAAACGCACCACGAGGTTGAAACTACATCGGAAAAACCCAAGAGTCCAAATCGGCGAGGCAAAGAAGTCAACAATATGGCCAAACGACAAACCAAACTGACCTAAATGTTGATGGTACAGATATGAGAAAACGGAAGTAAACCCTAGGATCATGGAAAAGAGAGAGGATTGAAAAGCAAGGGAAGGAAAAAAAAATTGTGCTTTTCGGAGAGTAACACGGGAAGAGATAGGTGATGCAGCTGGATTTAACGGGGGGCGGAGGCAGCAGGGAGAGAGAGAGCATGGCGTTGCCAAAGCATCTGCAATCGCAAGCCGTTTCTCATATGACAACGACTCAGCCATCACAAGTGGTGGCAGAGAGGAGGAGGAAGTCCGGAGGTGGTGAGGCGGAGGAGGAACTTTGGAGCCGAAGAGAGATAAGGAGTGCACAGGCGAGAAGAGAAAGGTGAAGGAGTGCACGGAGGAAAACGTGTTGGATCTAGGCAAAATAAAGTAGAAATCATTTTCCCCATTTTTGAAGATATTTTCCATTGACCCGAAAATGTTTTCTTTGACCAGTTTATTTTCTATGAATCAAACGTCAGACCATGCGAAAAAAAATTTCTTGAAAATTGTTTTCAGTGAAACAAACAGAGTTTATATACATTAAACTTTTCAGACTATGGGCACACGAACTTGTAGATTCGTATATAATTTTCTTGGGTTAATACCACGAAAAACCCTAAACTGGTACACTTGTGACACATTTACCCCAAACTATTTTTTTTACCATAAAAAACCCCAAACTGGTACACCTGTGACAATTTTACCCAGAACTATTTTTTTGACCCTGGCCGGATCCGACGAGGGCGACCCTCGCCGGTATCGGGCGAGGGCTGCCCTCGCCGGATCTGGCGAGGGTCGCCCTTGCCCTGGGCAGGCGAGGACGACCCTCGCCCGACGCAGGCGAGGGTCGCCGCTGTATCCGGCGAGGGCCGCCGACGCCGGCGAGGGCAACCTCGCCCGATACCGACAAGGGTCGCCCTGCCCGACGCCGGCGAGGGCGGCTCGCTCGACGCCGGCGAGGCGGCCTCAAGCTTCCGCTGAGCGGCCGCCGAACCCGGCGACCGGCCGTAGGTTGAAGGTGAAGGAAAAAAAAGAAAAGAAAAGAAAAGAAAAGAAAAAATTCAAAAAAATAAAAAAATAATATTAAAAATTAGTTCGGGGTAAAATTGTCACATGTGTACCAGTTTAGGATTTTTTGTGGTATGTTTGGGGTAAAATTGTCACAGGTGTACCAGTTTGGGGTTTTTTATGGTCAAAAAAATAGTTTGGGGTAAATGTGTCACAAGTATACCAATTTAGGGTTTTTTGTGGTATTAACCCAATTTTCTTTCATAATGTTTTGTAACATTTTTACTTTTTCTTTATATTTTCTAAATTTGAAGGGAAAGTTTTCAGCAGAAACAAATGAGTACTTTTTTTCGTTTGTAGAAAGCAGGAGTGATCGGTTCCCGGGCTGTCCGATTCCCGCCCTGGAACAAGGAACCGGACCCAAGGGATTAGTTCCTAGTTTCTACAACCGGGAACCAAACTGATGCCCTCTTGGAAATAGACTGACCACTTCGATCCGGTCTCCGGGTGGGCTAATGGAACTGGTGGCATATTCAATTTTTTTTTTATTTGTCGTTAATGTTCAAATTGAAATTGAAGATTTTCTTGAGATAATCAAGGAGTAAGTCACGTATAATATTATAAGTTTCATAGAGATTTTTCCAATTTGTGGCAAACTTTGGTTGGAATAAGCAACTACTATTGTGTTTTGATTTGTTCATGTCATCTTACTCACGTGCATAAATAAATATAGTTGCTCCAGTCTTGGAGGGCCATTCCTTTTGTGAATTGGGACATAGATTAGGGTTTTTTATATATATTTTTAAGAAAAAAATTTAAAAAAATCGATTTAGTCCTGGTGGTCCAGATGGGCGGTTCCATACTTGGAATCGGAAATCGGACCGAAATTCACCGATTCTAATTTATGGAACCGAGAATCGGATTGATGTCCCTGAAAATCGATTGATCCGATCTGAGCAGTTTCTTTTTCTCACTCCTAATAAGATGGTGGGTGGAAAATAGCACGTTACGAAACGCGTAATAATGCATGAAATTCAACTGAAAAAGTTTTCGGCAAGAAAGTGCATCCATCACACGTACTATATTTCTGCTGACCCACCATGTATACGTTCTTGTCAATCTCCGCATATAATTTAGTTGATGAGAGCAATAAAAAATAAAACCCCAACCTTGCATTTGGAATGCTAATTTTGCAACGGAACTAACGAAATACCATCTAGCTTTTTCAACGAACTGAGAACCTGACTCGAATCCCACATTAGGAAACGATTGTATAGGGTCGACTTCATGAACTTAAAGCAGCGACGTTTGACGAAACACAGTCGCCATCTTGGACAGGAAAACATTAAGGAAACAAAAACACCTGAATAAATAACGTAAGTTAGGAAAGTGGGTGGAGCCATAGGAGGACAAAACGAAAAGGAAAGCTCTGTATTTGAACTTTCTCTTTTTCTTTTTTCCGCCAGGCAAAAAGGCTCGTTTGGTTAAGTGAGACTATAGGACAACGAAGGCACGAATTTGACGCCACTTGGCGTGCGACAGTGTGTCCACAAAGGGCGGCTTCACAACCATCGAAGAAGAGGCCGATAGAGTCTCCGAAGTCCTATGTTCGCATCATCTTTGCCATCTGAATATTGAATTTTTTCTCAGATTTGTCTTGCCGAGAGTTGACTTGATGTGTGCACAGAAGTCCTAAGTGAAACATCACCGACAATGAAGAATCGGGCCAACGCTAATTGCATTATTTGCAGCACGTAATTGGTAGGTAGATCCGTCAAATCGATGAATCAGATTAGGTTTGGATTGGGTCAAAAAAATAATCCGACTCATATTGACATATTTAACTTATATTGACCCATTTATATGCAATATTTTTTGTCAACCCAAATCCAACCTGACCAATATTACTAAAACATATATGTACCTATTTATCTCACTTATAGCTTTAGACGTGAATATGTTGCTTGTGTGAAATTTCATTTTAAATTTTAAAAAAAGCAAATTAACAAAATGAAAAGACGTAAATAAATAATCAAGATTGATGTTTATGTGTGTCGTAATCAACTTTGGGTATTTTTGTTCTAAAATCCGGACGAGAAATGATATTCTAAACAATGCAAATAGTCACGAAACTTCACCATGGGAAGGAGGACTCATCATCGAAAATCTTTTGTTAATGGTCAGCTTCAGCTTCTAGTTGTTTAAGCTAGCGTGCTGCAAATAATGCAATTAGCCGTCGGGGCCGATTCTTCCTCGTCGGTGACGTTTACTTTAGCACTTAAAAGATGGTATGTCACCACCCACCATTGACCGTGAGACCAAGTCGCTCTCTCTTAGTGGGTCTCCTTCGCTTAACAACTCCGCAACTAAGCACTCTCTTTAAAATAACATTATCATTGCTTTCCACCAAACCCCGTTTAATTTTTCTCCATCTGCCTCCTCCATAAAACCCTCCTCTCAACGAAACCCTCTTTGCGTCTCTCTCTCTGCCCCTCTCTGCCCCTCTCTAGCCATGGCTGTTTGCAGCGCAGAGCTCATCGTCGTCTCTCTCCTCTTTATGTCGACCGTCTTCGTCGCTGCAGACTCGCACACCTTCGCGCGGAGCCTCCTCCCGCGAGAGCTCGGGCTCAAGGAGGAGAAGCTGAGCCACCTCCACTTCTACTTCCATGACATCGTGAGCGGGCCCAACCCGACCGCCGTGCGCGTCGCCGAGGCCAAGATGACCAACTCGTCGGCCACGGGGTTCGGGGCCGTGGTCATGATCGACGACCCGCTGACCGAGGGCCCCGAGACGAGCTCCAAGGAGGTCGGGCGGGCGCAGGGGATCTACGCGCTGGCGTCGCAGAAGGACACCGGGCTGCTCATGGTGCAGAACTACGTGTTCACCGAGGGGAAGTACAACGGGAGCACGCTGAGCGTGCTCGGCCGGAACGCGGTGTTCTCCGGCGTGCGGGAGTTGTCGATCGTCGGCGGGAGCGGGCTCTTCCGGTTCGCCCGCGGGTACGCTCAGGCACAGACGCACACGTTCGACCGTAAGACCGGGGACACCTGCGTGGAGTACAATGTTTATGTCTTCCATTATTGATCCAAGTTCTCGAGATGTCTCTGCAGGCCTTTCTGGAAAGAGTTCTCACTGTTTAGTTCTTTTGTTTTTTGGTCGGAACACTGTTTAGTCTGGTGGCCGTGTTGTTTGTTCGTTTCTTTGGTATCTATTTCTCTTTTAATTTTCCAATCACCGATGCGGCTTACATTGATGTTTACACTTTACCAAACGATAAATAAGGATAACTTATTTCATGAATAATATGATTAAGGGAATGAATTATATTGCAAATCGATGACTGACAAAACTAATTATTAGATAGGCTTCTTCTATAAATTAACGGAATTGAGGAATGAGGAGGGTGTTATATGAGATTCCAAATCAGAGCTAGGTTTGGCTTACAAGCGTAGTAGATCCACATGGCTTGACGACAAAAGGAGAAAAGTGAAAGACGATAGGTTGAGTTAGGGTGCGTTTGGCAATTATTCTATTTTCAAAAACTGATTCTGCTCAGAAATGATTCTTTTTTATTGTGTGGCCGGAAATAATTTCTAAGCATTTGAAAGCGTTTGGTAACTGCCCAAAATTTTTATTCTTGGAATAGAAAAAGAACAGAAATGCGTTTGGTAACTGCACAAAATTTCTTTTTATTAATAATATTTTAATGATATTTTGAATTTTTTTTCTTTTTTTCTTTTTTTTTCTTCCCCTTTCCCTTCCTTGGCCATGGCCAGGTCGCCGACGTCGCCGACCGGCCACAGGCTAGGGCCAGCGAGGGCGTCACGGCCCTCGCCCAGGCGGCGAGTGTCCAACCCTTGCCCTCGTTGGCCCTGGCCTGTGGTTAGTCGCCTATGACACTCTGGATTTAACTCACTCAAGGTATTGTCCACTTTGGCCCATCCCATACCGAGCCTCACGATTTTGTCCTTTGGCGTACATGCAAGCACTTTCCCAAGAGGTCACCCATCCTGGTAGTACTCTAGCCCAATCTCACTTTACTTTGGAGTTTCAAAGCAAAGCTTGCCGTTACGTCAAAAGGCGCCTCCGTGAGTTAATTCAAGTTTTCATATATATATCTCAAGATCGCTCTTCCCTTGTTTGGTGCACAGTTCAGTTCATTCCTGCCCCCTTCGCCATCCTAGAAGCTTGCCAGGAGCTACTCCTTGTCCAGGCCCTTTGGCCCCGGCGACCACTCCCCGCCCTCGTCGAACCGAGTCGTTACATAGCTAGTGGCCAGCGACCGGCCACAGGCCAAGAAGAAGAAGAAGAAGAAAAAAAAATTTCTTTTCCATTTCTAATTCTTGTTCTCATAATCAAGAAGCTACTTTTTTTTACTTCTTGATTCTGTTCCAAAACTGATTCTGAGAATAAATTTTTGCAAATTTATGCCCGTGAACAAAAAATTTACCAAACGGATTTCTGTTCCAAAATTGATTCTGAAAACAAAAGAACAGAAATAGTTACTATTTGGCAACTTGCCAAACGCACCCTTATTAGGCCATTCCCCACGCGTCGAAATAATTTAAATGAAAATGCTCATTTGGGAGATATTATCAATGGGAAGGATGAAGAGAAGAGAAAGGCGATGGTTTTTGTCATATTGCCTTATTCCAAAAAAAAGCAACATCTTTAGGTTAAGGAACAATTGTGGCCGGAACTTTTTTTTGTCCCATAAAAAAGAACAAACTTTAGGTTGAGTGACAATTTTGGCCCCAATTTTTTTTTTGTCTTGTAAAAAAGCACTAACTTTCACTTAAATCCCAAATCTGACTTCCATTGACTTAGAACCATTGATCATCAAACTTGACTATTCCACCTTAGCAATAAATCTATGAGGCTTGCTGACTGGATTTAAAGCATTATTCATTGTCTTATTCTTTGAGCCACAACTTGAAGAATAACGGTGAAACTCTTCGTCTCCTTCACTTCACCGGCAAGTCAAAAATATCTCCAGATCGAATCTCTCTGGCCAGACGTCATCGTTTTTTCGTAATCTGAAGCTGTAGACCACCGTCCGTCAACAAACGCCATGGACGAGATTCACCAAGCTCACTACCATAACATTTTTTCTCAAACAAAGGTGACTTCAGACAGAAAGTCAATGAGGGCCAGATTTTGGGATCATAGTGAAAGTTAGTGATTTTTTATAAGACAAAAAAAAGTTGGGGCCAGAATTGTCACTCGACCTAAAGTTTGTGCTTTTTTATGGGACAAAAAAAAGTTCGCACCAGAATTGTCCATTGACCTAAAGTTAGTGCTTTTTTTTAATTAACCCGTCATATTGCGATTACGTAATGCCAAACTCATTGTGGAGTAGTGCTGAAGTTAATACATCATATAGTTTGTGTGATTATAAAGTGGGCATTAAAAAATCAAGTGGATCAATAGAAAACCAAATAAGTTCTGCCATGGCACTTAGTCATCAATTTATAAAAAAATCAATTTTGTTAAAAATTAGCGTTACCCGTCACTCTAACAGACCACATACTCATCGCACTTCAGTAAATAATGGAATATCCTCACTATTTATTTAGAGATGAGTTCCATTGTAGGCTGATGACCATGACAAGAACTTCCAGGTAGCTTACAAAATAAAGTGTACCTTAATTAATTATTTATTCAAGAAAGGCTAAAGGTGCATTTGATTCAACTTTTCCAAGGGCTTTGGGTCGTCAGAGGCCCTTGGGGGAAAACATGGGGTAGGACCATTTTAGGCTTTCGGCATTTTAGGAAGGCTATTTCCTAGAGTTATAAAAGAATTTCCAAAACTATCCTCATCAATTTTTTTTTTCTGGTTTTGCCCTCATAAGAATTGTTCATCTTATCCACGTAAATCGCCGATGAAGCTCCATCGAGAGTTGCAATAGGCCATCCAACAATCGCCAATGATCGCTGATAGTCACACGACCTAAGCGAGGGATGCCTGGGGTTGCGCGACCTCCGCGAGGGTCTCCTAGCATCACTCGACCCCTCACGAAGGTCGTGCTTTTCCAAACTTTTTTAAATTACAATTTAACAAGCATAATTTGAATTTTGGAAAACCCATTTAACTTAGGCTTTGTTCGTTTAGCATAAAATAACTTCCAAGAAAATGTTATTTGGATTCTCCGGCATTCGTTTCACAAAAATAAACTAGCCAAGGAAAAATTTTCTCTAATTAAAAAAAAACACCTTCAAAAGTAGGGAAAAGGATTTCCTACTTTTGAAGAGAGGAAACCATTTTCCCTCCTCCTTCTTTCACCTTTTATTTTTTTTTTTTAATTTTTAATTTTATTAAAATTCTAATTTTTAATTTAACTTTATTTTTATTATTTTATTCTTTTCTTTTCTTTTTTTCCTTTTTCTATTTTCTTCTTCACCGGCCAGTCGCCGGCCACGACGAAGATCGGCGATCGGTCACAAGCGAGCTCGAGCCTCACCACAGGCCGGTGATCCTTGAGCGTCGCCAGAGAGAGGCGAGGCTCAAGCTTGGCAGTTTGACGATGCTCGAGCGTCGCCAGAGGGCGGCGAGGCCTCGCGCCTTGCAGAGAGCCTCATCGCCGCCTCGCAAGTCCTTTTTTGGCAAGCTCGCCACTCGCAACGTCTCGAGCCTCGCCAGATCTGGCGAGGCGAGGCGAGGCCTCGGGTGAGCAAGGCTGAGCCTCACCTGAGGCTAGTCGTCGTGGCCTACGACCAACAGATGAAGAGAAAAATGAAAAAAAAAAGAGAAAAAAGAAAAGAAAAGAAATATTAAAAATTATTAAAAATTTCAAAATTAAAAAATAATTAAAAATTCGATTTTTTTTAGAAAAAATAAAAATTTATTAAAAGGAGTGCAAGCAGTATACCGAACAACGGAAAATGTTTTCCAATTCATTTTCACATTTCAGCCAAACACTGAAAAATATTATCATTTTCCTGGAAAATAACTTCTTGAAAAATATTTTTCAGAAACATCATATTTTTCGTGAAACGAATGGAGCTTTAAAGTCTCTTACATTTCCTCAAAGGCTTTCCCATAAAGCTTACTAAACATAGCTTAAAAATCCTATCTTATAGAGAGTAAGTTAGCATCTTCGACATTGAAACACTAATACTAAATCCGCTGATCTCATTATAAAAAAAAATCCTAATTCTTAAATTTCATAACCTCTCTAAGGGTGCGCATGGCAACGATTTTGTGCCCGGAAACTGATTCTGCTCAGAAAAAATTCTTTTTTATTCTATGCCCGGAAATTGATTATGAACATTTGAAGGTGTTTGGTAACGGCTTAAAATTTCCATTCCTGAAATAGAAAAAGAACATAAATACGTTTAATAACAGCATAAAATGTAACGGCCCGGTCCGACGAGGGCGGGGAGTGGTCGTCGGGGCCAGAGGGCCTGGACAAGGAGCGGCTCCTGGCAGGCTTCTAGGATGGCAAGGGGGGCATGTCTCTTGTCCCACATCGCTTAGGGGGGAGTCTTGGGCTAGTTTATAATGCTTGGGTTCTCTACTCTGTATAACGCGTTTTAAAGCCGTGAGGGTCAGTGGGCCCAAAGCGGACAATATTACACAGTGTAAATCCCGGGTCCTTACATAAAATTTCTTTTTATTAATAATATTTTTAAATATTTTAATACTTTAATATTTCTTTCTTTTTTCTTTTTTTCTTCTCCTCCTTCTTGGCCATGGCCGGCGACTAGCCACAGGCAAGGGTCGCCCTCGCCAGCGAGGGCGAGGGCTAGACCCTCTCGACCTGGGCGAGGGTTGCCCTCGCCGGCCTTTTCCAGCCCTCGTCCAAGCTGGCGAGGGTTGGATTTTCGCCGCCGCCCTCGCCAGATCTAGCGAGGGCGACCCTCGCCCAAGCCGCGAGCCTCGAGGGTGGCCCTCGTCGGCTCAGGCAAGGGCTGGAAAAGGCCGGCAAGGGCCGCGCCAGCCCTCGCCTGTGTCGCCGGTCGCCAGTGGCCTATGTCGCCGGTCGCTAGTGGCCTATGTCGCCGGTCGCCAGTGGCTGGTGGCCGGCCAGGCAAGAAGAACAGTAAAGAATAGGAAATAAGAAGAAGGAACAAAAATAATTGCTTTTCCAATTCTGATTCTTATTCCCATAATCAAGAAACTACTTTTTTTTTGCTTCTTGATTCTATTCCAACACCGATTCTAGGAACAATTTTTTGCAAATTTGTGCCCGGGAACAAAAAGTTTATTTTTTTTTTTATCGGTCCTACTCTATCTCTCACTCACGATACACACTCAGACTTGCGCCCCACCTCTTGCAGGGCGTGGGTATCGAAACCCACATCTTAAACTACGCGGCCCCACCCCTACCCCCTGCAAAGGTGGGGATTCGAACTCCCCACCTCCTCCTTCTCAAGTGAGAAGGGTGGCCACTGGGGTAACCCGGGAACAAAAAGTTTACCAAACAAATTTCTATTCAAAAATTGATTATGAGAATAAAATAACATAAATTTTCACTGTGTGGTAAGTTGCCACACGGGCCCTTAGTCACCACAAGCGCTGACAAATTTATACCCGACAAATCCAACCGTTACATTTTATCTTTGGTACACAATTGAATGATCGTGTTACTCTCTATTCGGGAAAATTATCCAAAAAGTTCTAAACATATTGTACTTTTGCCAAATAGTATTAAATATTTTAATTGTGCCAATTGATTTTTAAACATTTTCACGTTGTGCCAATTATGTCCGTCCGACTAATTTTGGTCAGAAATCACTGATATGAACACCAACCATCCTAGATGGCACAGTCGACGCTGATATCGATAATTTTTAATAAAACTTTAATATATTTTCGAATTAATATTTTTTTATTTCTTTTCTTTTCTTTTTCCTTTTTTTCTTTTTTTTTTTCTCTTTCCTTCTTTACTTTTTTCTTACTGTAGCTAGTGAGGGTTGCTGAGCCCTCGCCGGCTGCAAGTAAGGGTCGTGTGCCCATCACCCGGCCTCACCCAAATCTAGGCAAGGCCATTACAGCTGCGAGCAAGGGCAGCCTCACAATGGCCTCACCCAGATCGAGGCAAGGCTGCCTCGCCCGCGGCCAGTGAGGTCACAATGGCCTAGGCGATCCCGCTATGGTCTAGGGGAGGTTTGCCTTGCTCTGATTTGAGTGAGGGCATCGCGGCCCTCCCCAACGGCTGATGAGGGCTTCACGGCCCTCACCCAGTGGCCGGTGATGGCTAGCGAGGGCCAGACGACCTTCACCGGCCACTGTAAAAAAAGAAAATAAATAAATAAATAATTCATTCGAAAAAAAATTGAAAAAATTTCCACGTTAGCGCCGCCCGCACCACGTGAGACAACCAATCTCCACGTCAGCGATTTCCAGCCAAAATTAGCCTAATGGATTAAATTGGCACAACGTGAAAAAGTTTAAACTCAATTGGCACAATTAAAAGGTTGAGAATTGAATATACAAAAATATAATAAATTTAAGATTTTTTGGATAATTTTTCCCGCATTATTCCCTTTTACTCACGCTCTTTTTTAAGAAATTTCATTTTGAATGATGTTATGTTCCTAAAATTTGAGTTATATAATTAGTATATTAGGAGGGTTGGTGCCAAACCATTATTAGATGTCATGTGCAACTCATTTAATACATTTACGATATCTATCTATCTGCAATAAGTCGCATCAATTCGTACATTGATTTTGTAAAACAACCCTAATAAATGCGAAATTGCACTATTGTTTTTTCTACCAATACCTATTTTCTCCGTTACCCTCCTTTATAAAAGCCTCCCGGCCCTCCCCCCACAACACTACCCTTTTCACATCTCTCTGTCTCCAATATGGCTCTTTGCATCACAAAGCTCATCGTCTCCACTCTCCTCTTCACTTCGACCCTTTTCTTTACCGCAAATTCTCACACTTTCTCAAGAAGCTTGCTTCCGGAAGAGCTTGGCCTCGAGAAGGAGAAGCTGAGCCACCTCCACTTCTTCTTCCACGACATTGTGAGTGGCCGCAACCCGACCGCAGTGCGCGTGGCTGAGGCCAAGATGACCAACACGTCTGCCACGGCGTTCGGCCTCGTCGTCATGATCGACGACCCGTTGACCGAGGGCCCGAAATTGAGCTCCAAAATCGTCGGCCGGGCTCAGGGACTCTATTCGTCCGCATCGCTGAACGACGTCGGCCTGCTGATGGTGCAGAACTACGTCTTCACCGAAGGGAAGTTCAACGGGAGCACGCTCAGCGTCCTCGGCCGGAACGCGGTGTTCTCCGACGTGAGGGAGATGCCGATCGTCGGCGGGAGCAGGCTCTTCCGGTTCGCACGCGGGTACGCTCAGGCGAGGACGCACTCGCTTGACCTCAAGACTGGCGATGCGGTTGTGGAGTACAACGTTTATGTCTTCCATTATTGATCCTCTTCGGGAGCTGTCGCCGGAGGAGGCCATTCTAGGAAAGAAGTCCTTAGATTTCATTTCATGGCCGTATTCTCTGTTTGCCTCTTTAAGCTTTCTCAATAATATTATTTCGGGTATTAGAGAGATTCTTGCACTGTTGATTGTACTTTTAGAACATCATATTTCCCAAATTAATGGAGACCTACAGTGGATGCCAGAGAGTAGAGACTAGAGTGCTCGTTGGGACAGACACGTGGGTAATTCATGTCACAAATCATGTTGGAGATACGAAAAGTGATTCACTATTTAGCGTTATTATATATTTTAAAGATTTTTTATAGGATATTATCACGTGTTAGAGACAATTATGATATTATTATTAATTATCCATATCTCTCAATTGTATGTATATTTTTCTTGATTGTGTATATCTTGATTGATATATGTTAGCTTAGATAGTAGTCTCATAAAACTATAAATAAGTAAATATAAAATATCGAAATATACATAAATTCATCAATCCTATCTTTCGCTTTACAATTTCTCAACTCACTGAACAACATTGAAAAGATTCAAAAAGTGTTTGCATATAAATTGTTTCTTCAAATGTTCCATTATAATTTGACACATCATATATTTCATCGGATATTTCCGTGAAGTCAATCGGTTGTCCAAAGAGTAATTCTCATGAAAAAGATCTCTTCATTCGATTTCGTGGATACAAAAATGTAAAAAGGCGATTGTGCTTTATTCGTTTGATGTATCAATAAAGGCGGGTTTTGGGCAATTAGATTGGACATGAAATAATCCAAATGGTTAGGTTTTGGCATACATAGGGATGGACAATAATGTGTTGGGAACATGATCCTTTTCCAGTCTCGGAGATGGCAGCATTTAGTAGTCTAAAACCATTGATAATCTACGACCAATTGATCACTAACTAATTCGGCTTGAGACTGATTATGCTATCAATTGATGATAAGAAAAGGCAGAACTTAAAAGTTAAAACCAAAAATGTCAAGGGCATCCCAAAAAATAAAGAAAAATCAAAGACCCTTTGATCTTATTTAATTTAATAAACATTATTGATGGCATATGGTCCGTCTTCCAAAAGTCCAAACTCTTTTGACAAATAGTCGGGATGGAGATCTCCACCCAACACGCCGTAGTCACCTACCTCCTTGAAAACTTCGATCGATCTTGTCAGCCCGCTACATCTGGACTTCTTACATTTTGTCGTTTGTGGGATCACATGTAATATCAGTCGTCCGACCTAAAACTTGTCAATGTCGACCGTCAAACTCGAGCACAACCGCGCTTCAGCTCACGACAGGGTAGACTCGGTCGGCTCGAGTCAATTCCAGCTCGTAAACCGACCAATGGTATGTGAGAAACCAAATTCAGCAGTGCAAGACACGCAGAGATATCCACCCCAGTTGACGGGTCCTAATCAAGACCACACGTTTACTTATAGTCATTGCTAAGAGAAGTTGTACTGGTGCAATGCCATTCAAGAGTCAACTAAGTTACCACTTCCTTCACGTTAAGTCCTTAATTAGATGTTTCCTTGGCACTTACTAAAGTTTTTCTCTTTGATTCCGCCAAAAAAGAAGAAGGAGAAAAGTCTTGCATTGTCTCTTACTCCGTTTGATATGACTAACTACAGTGGCAAATTCAAGATACCGATCCTTATAGTAAGTCAGATCTCTGCCGAATCCGAGGTTGCTTTGAGACAAATTAATCTTGTGCTGTGTATACAGATCCGTTCTCCAAATAATACGAAAGAGATGCACCGGAAATCGTTTGATCGTACAAGTTAATTGATGGATCATAAGTACGGATATCATTCACTGTACATTTGATTAAAGATTTGACACGGGTGATGTTGATATCTATACTTCATCAATGAAAAAATATAATTACGCAGAAAGTTTTGTGGAAGTAGGTGTTGAGACTATAGGAAAGAAAGAAGAAGAAGTGGAAAGCTGAAGAAAGTTCAAGTCTTCTGCGACTGATTTCTGTTCTTTGAGCCAAGGGAAAACAGAGTAGTTGACATTCTGTTAGTTCAACAGATTTGTTTCTTCTGTTAGTTCAGTTGTACAGTTGTATTTCTGGGACATGAGCTGTAACTCGAGCAGTAGTTTAGCTTGAAGAGTTGTACGTGTTATATAAGCAGTAAGATACACGAGAGATGTTAAGCTCTCAGATGAAGTTCTTTATGTAGTTCAAGTTCTTCAACCGTGAATTTCCTTTCTTCTTTCTTCATTTCTCAAGTTCTTTACAGTAGGAATGGCGAAAATAAGAATCCCTTCTTTGGACAGGCAAGACTCCAAATGAATATAAACCATATACTCACGTTAAATAGGCCAAAAAGGAACAGAAAGAAGCTGGTACCCCGTCCCACTATGCACGAATTTTCAAGGCAGCTTTCTTCGTGATGTAAACTTGTTGGGGACCAGAGAAAAAGTGAGTTGATGACTAAAGCTTAAATGGAGAATCCCCCGGAACCATGGCCAATGTTCAATGGAATGCCATCTTTTTCTTCGTCCGACCAAAGCTTACAACTTTCGCAAATTTCATACTAATGCGTCGGTCCCGTTTTGTGATTATGTCCGCCAGTAAAATTTTCATTTAACAAAGAGATAACTTACTAACAAATAGCCACTCTGAGGAATCGATACGCGGGAGATTTGATCTCTAGAGTAGAGAAAGGCCCATGGCGTCAATGTATCGAGTACTAGTTTTCCGTTTGCGGAGTAATGTTTGAGATCATATCAGTTCCAGCGCCCGAATGTTGCTCTCTGCAGCATCTGGGGTTTCTGAGGAACTGAATGGTGCGGTTTTTCAGTGAGCGATCTCTTCGTGCTTCTTGGCTTGACTATTTAAGTCCTGGTGAAGAAGCTGAGGGGAGTCGTGAGTTGCTTTGTGATGGGTCAAATCGCCCGCCCCGGTCATGGTTTCATGAGTAGTTGGGTACTTTGAAGTTCCTTTTCGACCCATTGCATGGACTTATTCGTAATGCTTCACTTAAGTGCCTCCTGGCTCATTGCCTTCATGAGTAAATTGTTTCGCTTCATTCCAGTTAGTCCACTGCCCTGCATTTTGCTCAAAGTTGGCCTCTGCAACAGAGTACTAGGAACTCCGACATTGGTGTACATTGTAGGATCACATTAGGCTACAAGAAAATATTCAATGATTTCAAACCACCACGTCACTAGCCTACGTGGCACGCGTGAGCCACTTAAAATGCAACCAGTGTACTATGACATGGAATTAAAAAATTGAAGAAGAGGGAGGTTTTCTAGTGGGAGCTGACAGTAAAACTACCCGTGGTTTTGAAGGAGAATGTTGGGAGAACAATAACAATCCGAACAATATCGAATTAGCGCAGCGAAATAAAATAATCTCCCCTCTTGTGCAAATCTAATAGGAAACGACTGAATCGAGGAATATAAATACACCAGGCACGTAAACACAAAGCGATTTTTTTACGTGGAAAACCTCCTCGGTGTGAGGAGATCAAAAACCACGGGACCGGAGTCCACCCAAAAATCTTCACTATCAGCAAAACTGGGTGAACAAAGTTCTTCTCTAGTAAATACTAGAGGTACATAGCAGCAAAACCATCAAGAACATCATTCTTGGCAATAGACATGAACTTCACAAGAGATAAAAACGATAAATCTCACCAAAAACGCACTTTTGGTGCAACCCATGAAAACCTGATGTAGGTAGCTTCAACTGAAAATCAAACCATTCAGATTCGAGAAAAATGCGGCACGAACACGCTGACAAAATTTCAGCTCAATCGGACCACGAATCGATCTCCGACATCAGCATTAGACATATCCTCAAACCCAGATTTTCTTCTCTCTCTTTTGTTACTGTGTCTCTCAAAAAAGTTCTTTTTGTGGCCACAACATAATAATAGTGAGAAACCTTATTTTTCCATATGAATAGACATATGGGCTCAAGCCTTGGACTTGCAATACATTGGGCTTTCTCCACATGATCGTGAACCTAACCAACAGAGAAGTCACACCTAGCTTTGGAAGTCATAACCCACGAGGGAAAAAAAAAAAGTCACAACATGCCGGAAGCGGAGGCGGAGGCGAATATGAGCTTCGAACCTAGCAACTGCAACCGACAGGGGCTCTTAGAGGCGACGTGCCGGAGCCGAAGGCAAGAGTGTCTTCGGATGCAAAGAGGTGGAGTGAAATTTGAGACAGAGAAGGGGAACCTCATCTTGAAATGACTTTTGGGAGAGACAGAGAGTAGGCAATAAATTCATTGTAGCGTGTGTCGATCCTTCTCCCTGTCCCTGCCAACCAAAGGAGAGAGAAAAGTGAGCTTCCGGATTCAATTTTTTAATTCCATGTCATAGGCCACTTGTTGCATTTTGAGTGACTCAGGCATGTCAAGTAAACTGATGACGTAATGATTTGAAACCACTAAATATTTTCTCATACCGTACGTAACCAGCAACTACTTTGATGGCAGTTTCTTTATATTTTATTTGTTCACTCACCCATATATTCTGAGGATTTTGTTTGCTTCAATCAACGTTTTAGCTTAAGTAATTACTCTTTGAGAAAGTAGCAATTCTGAGTCTATCTTGGCTTTAGTTCGTCATAAGGTTGTCTTCTCGCTTGATAACGTAATGTTCCAAAACCCAATTGACCCCGTTTCGAGCAGCATAGCCTACACAATTAAGCGAAGCTTCATACATGACCCACTTCAAGTGCACATGAGATGTATATAACCGACTTTAAATGCGTTTCAATGTTGAAAAAATGTGTAAAAGTATATGATGACCCAGTGAAAAATCTGCATAAGAATATGAACATCTAATTAGTACCTTTGTACATGGGACAGTCTTCCACCAAATTATCACCCTATTGTGAAGATTTATCTATGAGGATCTTGATTGATTTACAAGCTGAGTCTCGTAAATTACTAGTCCTTGGGCAAAAGAAAACATTCTTCATGCGGACAAAGTAATATACAAATTTCACATTTGATCTAGAAATATGAAAATCAGTTAGTGTTCTATCGCTACGTGCATTTCAATACAGTGCATTCAAAGAAAAGAATGTTTTCCTTTTCTTTGCAGGACAGGAAAGGAAGACACTGCACAAGTTGTTAGCATTGAATATGCATTTTAAAACCCATTTCTGCCAATTCTTGAATCTCAAAGCGTGCAGTGTGGTTCGATATCAAGACTAAACATAGTACGAGCTTCTCCAGTTTTTTACCTTCACACTACTACAGGACCCAGCACCAGTGGGACACTGTTCAGATGTTAGTGTAAAAATTCAGTTCACTATTACTTTCTATTACTGGAGGATGACTCAGATGATTTATTGAGCGCATCCGTTGAACTTTCCT